ACCTTTAAATTTCCATACAACAGTAATTTTAAGAAGCTAAAGATTTATTGACCATCCACACTCATAGACCCACCAGAAATTAGTAGTGGCCAAAGATAATTCCGGGAGAATGGTTTCCAGACACACATGACTTTAGAACAACAAAACACTAAGGCAAGTTACAAGGCTACTGGGTCTTCACATTTAACAAAAACATACTTAAAGCGTTTCAATATAACAGTAATAGTTAAAAAGAAACATAAAATGATTACATTTTACATAAGATATTAACCAACAAAATAAAGTATTTCTCACATAAAAATTTAAAAGGAAAAAGGCTTTTATTATATTCATCATAAATCACAAAAAAAAAAATTAACTAAAAAGTATAACATTTTTAAATTTGGTCTACGTCTAAGCTTACTAAAACTATATAATTATATTATAATGGTATGACTAAAAATTAAAGAGAGTTCATTGATCAGACCTATGTTCAATTTTCATCACTGATACATACTGAGTGAACAAAAAAGCCTTTTACTTTTAAAAAGGTCAACAGATATCTTAAAATAAACATATAGCATATTTAAAAACAACATACAAATTTGAGTATACACACATAAAAGTGGCAATCAACCATTGACAGCTCTTTTAAGATCTTAACAAAAAAACTTATGATTATTTGTGTAATGTTATAAAACAAAATACATGTTAAAAAATAAATTTAAAACAGCAGATCTAATAGTATAAAATAGGCAAGTAAAAAGCAATATACAATCAGCCTACAAATGTTTTTTTAATTACACATTAAGGAACGATTTTTTTTTTTAAATATAAAAAACCTAATATACTTAATAGAAAAACTAGAAATGGAAAAACACCAGGATTAGTAAAACTATAAGTCAACTGCAAAATAAATTTTGATGTTTTCAACTTTTACATCTACAGGTAATCAGTTGCATCCACTAAATTTTAATGTGGATTGAGGAAAGTGTGACCCTTTTTTTTAAACCAATATTGGTTAGAGGTATGAAATTTGTTTTGGGCTGAAAATTGCAATATATTTAGAGAAACTTAAATGCCTCTGCATATAAAATATTCAATTCTTACTTCTGCTCTTATATACCCACTGTATTAAATGACATATTTTCAACTGTAGTGTAATTCCATACGTGCATGTTACTGCTATTACTGCTAGGATTTTAATGTCTAAAATTGTTATTTTTATATTTTAAAATCTTGTAAATTAAAAAAAATTTTTTAACTAAATATTAATTAAATTCCATGTTGTTATATTTTTCCATTACTTATACCACGGGTTCCCAAACTGGGGGTCGCGACCCCTTGGGGGTCGCAAAGGGCTTTCTGGTGGGTCGCCAACTGGTATACTAAACCTTAGCAATGAAAAACAAAACAAATATTTAGAAGAATATCTAATATTCGGCTTTACTAACATCACTGGAAATGGAATAGAGAAGAACCAATGCGTACTGTACAAAGTTGTTCTCAGTCATGAGTCAATGAAATCTTCAAAACTAAAACATCATTTGAGACAAGTCATTTGGAACACTCCAAAAATGATAAGGAGCTCTTTTGTCCACGTGAAGCTAATTGCAAACGTCAGAGATTTGATTGAACAGGAAGTTTTCACCATGGAAACACAGCATTAGTGCAAGCATCAAATAGATAGAAAACACCAAGCAAAAAAAAAACCAAAAACAATAGGAGAAAATCTCATCAAACCCTGCATGTTGAAGATGGTGAAGTTACTTTTTGGGGATTCCAGTGCAGTAAAGATGCAACAAATATCTCAGCCTAATAATACTATTCAGCAGATTATAGCAGACACGTCCGTAGATGTTAAATAAGACATTTTTAATGAAATCAAGTTTTCACCATTGTTTGTTTTTCAAGCTGATACATCAACAGACGTCAGTTCGATATTCCCAGTTGCTTGTTACTTTCTCGTATATAAGAAGTATAGAGAAAGTCTTGTAATCGTGCAAAAAAAAAATAATTTAAAAAATAATAATCGAGATTTTTACAAATCTCGACGTTTACACCTCACTGATACGGAAAAACATAATTTTGCAATCTTGTCCGTATGTGTGTGTGTCTGTGTGTAACCACGATAACTTGAGTACTGTTACAGCAAGGTTGATGAAATTTCATATATAAGTATTTTATCAAAATCGTAGATCCTGATAAACTTTGGAGCGATTTCCGATTAACGGAAGTGGTACTTTTTCTACTTTGAATTTTTCAAAAGCCTATAACTTGAGTACTATTTCAGATCGATAAATGAAATTTCACATCTAAGTAAAAGATCTAATTCTCTACCTTCTGTCAAATTTTGAGTAATTTCCGTTGACCGGAAGTACTAATTAACGCTATTTCCGATTTCTAAAAAAAAAAAAAACGCATGTAAATTTATAAATACTAATAATATTTCGCACTATTATGCACATTTTATTAGGCGTTCACTTGGTGTGCAATTCTTTTTTTTTTACGAGATTCTATTCTATTATAAAAAGTTTAAGTAATTAAAAATAGATTACAAATAGGCCTATTGTCTATGTCCTGAGTTGCCATCCCTCGTAGTTTTATATTAGAATATTCGAGAAAGTTTAGGGGAAAACACTCCCGGTTTATCTTTTTCTATATTCATTCAGATGATAGCAAAGAAAAGTTGCTATTTTGTGAAGATAGCATGGAGAAAATAAATACGTTTTTTTGAAACGGGATGATTAAAATGGGTTAAAACGGCTGTGGGGGGTTCGTACGGATGGTGCGCTATGTTTCTGTCAAAATCGGGCTTTCAGAAAACAGAAAAGATTTAGCTCCCTAAACACCGCATAATTCACCAGTATGCCCTCGCCATCAAGACTCTTCCGACTCCATTGCTAGTAAAAAGCCCTAAATTAAATTTAATCCGGAGCCTTAAACTAACTGAGCAACGACATTAATATAGATCACGAGGGTCTGCTTTTCTACAGTACACTGGCTGTCAAACAAAATGTAAATCGTGTTTTTGAATTGAAATCTGAAATCAAATAGTTCTTGGAAGTGCAAAAGAAAACAAGACCTTTTGGTATACATAAAACGACAGAGTAGTTGGGGCGAGTATCATACCTCACAGATATATTCAAACACTATTATGCTTTGTCCATTTTTGGATTAAGAAATAACTTCAATGAGAAATTATTTTTAATGTGTTCAAAATACAATTTTTATGACACCATGAAGTGAAATACCAAAAGATTTCTATGGCTTTACAATTAACACAGGAATGATTATTTTATGCTGTTGGTCTCTTATTTATTTTAAGACTAGTAGGCCTACTAATTTTTAAAATAATGATACAATGCCCAGCATTTGTACTTGATGTAATAAAAAAAACTTAAGTCATGAATGAATTGAGATATCTTTTATAGAAAAAAGTATGCAAATTTTAAAACTTTCCCTTACTAATACGAGTGCAATTTTTCAGACTGTGGAATTCTAAAAGTTGTGACAAAAGTATTAACCTATACTGATAAATAAGCAGAGTATTATTTATTTGCTATAAGTGCATAAATAAAAAAGCCTTAGCATTTTCGAAAGTACAAAAACTTAAAAAATAGCTGAGGTTATTTTTTTTTAGGATTCCATGACAACCAAAATGCAAGTAGTGAGCCAATCCTAATTTTTAAAAAGAAGTTTTGAATATCAGCCACTTCATGTATTACTTGTTAAAAATTTTTTGCTTAAAAAAAATGGTGGTAATAATTTTTTTTATCAAGTGGTGTAATCAGTCTCTTAATTGACATGTTACTTTATCAATTACCATGTACTCCAAACTTATTTTTCAAATTAGTCACATAATGACTTTGTATTTTCTGCATAGTTCTATGATTCTAAGAATGTGGATACCAATTTTATGTGTGTAGGAAATAAAGTTTAATGCTTAAGAAAGATAGCGCTTAAGAAACTGTTAAAAAAAAAAAAAATTTCCTAATGAAGACCCAACTGTCTCAAAAACTATGAAAGCAGAAAGTATTCTCTAAATTAATTCCAATAAGAGAGGATCAATTAAAGACCCAACTTTTTTCTAATAGGTATAACAAGTATATACATGTTTTTTCTTTAAAATCGTCCTTCACCATTTCCACCAAAAATGAAAAAAGGCAGGGGAAAAACCGCCCAACTTTCACAAAAATTGCTAAAATTCTCATATTCCTTCCACAATAATCACTTTATATTGAGAAAAACATAAATTTATATATTAATTAAATTGAGTTATAAATTATGTTGTTCAATGTCAGATTTGAGAAAATGTTATGCCTCAACACCCCTTTAAGTCAGTATTTTAAAATTGACAAAAATTACTAAAACAATACAGATCAGTAAAAAATATATTACTTGTAACTACAGTTAACCTACATTTAAAAAGAAATATATTCAAATATAATTTAGAGTTCTATAATTGAAAACCATTAATAAAAATGCATACCCCTGAATTAAAAACAGGCAGAGTTTAGCCTGAAGGACTAATGTTCCTTGTAGCTAATTCCGACCCATAAATGGAGGCGAGCGAGTTGACGAGATTCCGTCCCCAATGTTGTTGACATGGAATAAAAACGTGCTTTTTAGATTTAGACCGAAAAAAAAAAAAAATAAAATAAAAACTTAAGCCTAAAATTAATTTAGAAATTTTATATTTTTAGAATAAATGCTATAAAAGTTGCAAATCCAGAGAACTTGAAAATAATTTGTTGAGTTTAAGGCTACATTTCTATTTATTTTCATCAAGCCTAAGTTATAACCGGATGTTTCACTTTCGTAAGACAAATATTGATTGAACAGTAACTTAGTGATCGATAACTATTTGTTTACAAAACTTTGCAGATCCAGTTTTTAAATAACAATGCAAATTTAAAACCCCATGACCTAGTTTTCTATTTTTAGCTTACAATGTGTACAATAAAATCAATGGCGGCCTATCCAATAGCAGGATGCCATTGTTTATGTCGCCATTACACGTGAAAATTGTTTTTGCTTTTTTTTTTTATTTTTATTTAGTTACCGAAAATATTATAAACATCAAATCTTAGTAAAGTCCGAAAAAAAACCAGATAGACAGGATTTTATAACCATATTAATTGTAACTACGCTGTGCATGATTTTTAAATGAATTTATACACCTCTCAAATACCTTTGAGACTTTTCTCGCTGGTGTCCATTACTAATGAAAAACTAGGTCGACATGACCTTTTACTACACATTCAAAATTTACAAGTTAACTTTAGTTTAAAATTAAAAATATTTTATTATATTCTTTTGTATAGGGAGCTGTTTTTATTGTGATATGTGTAGGAAAAAAATAGAATTCCGTTCAAACACATCAGGTTAGCGATCAAGGCCAAGATTGTTTTCTTTGTAAAAAATTTCATGATCATTTCTGGGAACAAAAGGTATACATGGTTTCTTTATCACACTTTGCCATTCGCGCCTTGTTTGATATTGTAGATATTTTCGCATTCAAATAGGAAAACAGATGGGTATTTTTAGTGGATTTTGGTGAAATTTTTATTTTTTGGAGAAAATGTTAGAAGCCATTTTTGCTAGAATAATTTTTAAATATTTATACACAGACATGCCTAAAAGAAGGAATTTGAAGCCAAAAAGAGGAACAGAAGCTACTTTAATAAGTCTAAAATAAAAATTAGTCTAATGACAGTAGACTTTTAGTTATATATATAACTAGTCTCTGGGCTACATTTAAATACCGACTAATGTCAGCTTACATTCTTTTTTCTACGAGATTCTATTCTATTTTTAAAAGTTTAACTAATTAAAAATCATGTCTATATTCAGAGTTGCCATCCCACGTAGTGTTACATAAGAATATTCGAGAAAGTTTAGGGGAGATCACTCCTGGTTTATTCAACTTGATTTATTACTTTTCTTTCTTTATTTTTTTCAAAAAAATAAAAAATGGACAAACTTTTGGCAGAATGGTAGGCATGTCTGTATACAAGACTGAAGGTAGCCTGTCGCTTGACCTACTTTTTTACCTTAGTCATGGTAGTGATGGCTGCCGACAATGACCGTACCATGATTCAGTTGTTTCATGGTCATTTCAGACATATATACTTAAAATCAATATTTTAGCGCATAAAAGTAAGCAAAACTTGAATTGCTTTATTTAATATTGTTCTTAACATAATGAAAATATATTCTAAACTATAAAAAATTATAACTTGCTTTCTACCAAACTAATCTTGTATTTGAATGGGGAGAAATCTAGCAGACAACACATTTCTGATGAACGGTGGTGAACGGTCAATACATCACGACAACACTCCTTAATAAACCGGGAGTGATCTCCCCGAAACTTTCTCGAATATTCTAATATAAAATTACGAGGAATGGCAACTCAGGACATAGACAATTTTTGTTATCCATTTTTAATTACTTAAACTTTTTATAATTGAATAGAATCTTGTAAAAAAATGAATTGCACACCAAGTGAAAAGCTTCCCTTTCTAACCTGACTTGAACTCGGATTCGAACTTTAGACTAACGGGTTAGCAGTCCAGCTCTCTACCACTAGACCACTCCGTCCCACACCAAGTGAACGCCTAATAAAATGTGTATAAAAGTGCGGGATATTATTAGTACTTTATAAATTTACATGCGTTTTTTGAGAAATCGGAAATAGCGTAAATTAGTACTTCCAGTCAACGGAAATTACTCAAAATTTGACAGAAGGTAGATAATTAGATCTTTTACTTACGTGTGAAATTTCATGCATGTTATCTAAAATAGTATGCAACTTATAGGCTTTTGAAGAATTCAAAGTAGAAAAAGTACCACTTACGGTTATCGGAAATGCCTCAAAAGTTGATCAGGATCTACGATTTTGATAAAATACTGATATATGAAATTTCATCAACTTAACTGTAACGGTACTCAAGATATCGTGTTTACACACAGACAGAATTGCAAAGTCCAGTTTTTAGACTCGATAAGGCATAAAACGCCAAAACGTTTATATATTTGTATTTATAATTTTTGCCTGATTAAAATAAGTCCTCTATACTCCGGATGTGATGAAGGACTGAGGAGTAAAACGGTGAAAACTGTCAAAATTTCATGTTATTTTTGTGCAGGATTACAATACTTTCTCTATACTTCATATATACGAGAAAGTAAAAAACGAACCCATCATATCACTGAAAATCAGTCATATCATCGTAGCCATTTAAAAACAAACGCAATCTTTCACATATTTTCTAGGCTATCAATTAAAGTGGATAAATAAAATTGGTATCAAATCAAAGGTAAATAAATGTAGTTTTTAATTATTTAAGTAATCTTTAACAATAATAAGTTTAAATCTTAGGCGACTACTGTTATTAAAATGTATCCATTTTTTTTCCTAGGCATATAAACAAAAATATTATTTGACATATTACTTGACAAACAACATATTACTGAGCTTTAGTTAAGCTTTAAAACCATACCATTTTTAAAAAATATTATAAGATTAATTTGTTTGAGAGAGCGATGTGATCGAAAGAAGTGAAAAAGTAATGAAAATGAGCAGAAATCTTGATTTTCTGCAAATTGGAGTACCTACAAATACTATTTTTCATTACATTTCTAAGTGAGCAATGAAGTTTAAAATCAAAGGCATAGTAGCAGTAACACTTGGATATTTTAACAGATGCCAGCGGGGTTTATGCCATATTAATGTTTTATAATAAACAGCAATCTTTGCAGTGCATGTCTAATTAATTAACAAGATGAACTATCAAATCAATGTGGGCAAGTTAATGTACCAGTTCTTATAAACGGTTCCCAGAAAGATGCGCCATAAAAAAAAAAGCATCTGAAAAAGTGCAAAAAAAAAAAAAAAAAAAAAACGCAACAGAAAAAAGCACAGACAGAAAAATGAAAATTCATTTACATGTTACATCTCTTGCAACATCTCTCTGACTCAATTACACACTATTTTAACACTACAAGGTTTGTGTCACCCAACCAAAGCATGTACTGAACAGCAAAATGGGCAGCATGTAGCCTATATAACAGAAGAGCTATGATTGTTGATATTATTTTGCATTCAATTGGTAAACATTTTCAGAAAAAACCTTCCATAACTTTTTTTATAAAGAAACAAAGTTTTATTATAACATCAGGCTTTGACTCAGACTTGTGCCAATAGCGTCTACATTATTAAACTGATTAACTATTTAATGTAGGGCTCAATTGGCTCAGTGAACTAACATTACGCCAAACCAGTATGAAAGTTCGAGTTTTGAAACACTATTAATAAGCTAGAAAAATGGACATGTGCATAATCTATATCTACACAAACACCCAACCGCCAACCCATATATATATATATATATATAGTAGGTAGGTAGGTGCATCATGATGAAAAAAAATTAAATACATCATTATGATGTGTTTTATCAGGGTATGTTGGTGCGAGAGATACAACGAATGCATGTTTGATGACGCGGATGAAAGAGTGAAATTTTGCTATAGGAAAGGGTTGTTATGGTTTGAAGGCTAGGGAGTCCGGACCAGAGAGAATATAAGAGATACTCTGTGTAATGCCCATATGAAGGATCGTTTTGTTTATTTAAATGAGATTACTTAGATTAGTAGTTGAATATATATTGAACAAGAAACAAATAGGCTTTGTGTCAAGTGATTATCGCTGTATGGTTGTGATGTGAATGCTCATGGTAGTGGTATTCTTTAAATAGTAGTAGATCGCGCAAGGTTTAACAACCCTCTCACAGCAGCCCTAAAAATAATGTATGTGTCATCTAGTCCATATAGGTCTTTGTGCTAAAATTTCTTTGTGCATTTTTCTGTGTACGTTATTTTCTGTCGCGCAAATTTTATGGCACTTTTTTTCCATTGCGCATCTTTCTGGTCACCTTCATAAACAAGGTAATGCACTTTTTGATAAAACTAATGGATCTTAAAAATGAATAGGAATATGATAATATGTTAATAAGCACCAACATTACCCTAGGTAAATAATAAAATTCAGGGTTTAATAGTCTTGGGTTCTGAACATAATTCTTTTACAATCTATAGAATTACTACTTAGATACAATATAGGCTACTACTTTACTTAGTAATGTATATGGAGTAAAACTAATACATTTATTATCATGAAAGCAGTACTGTGATTAGACACTTAAACAAAAAAATGACAATTAAAAATATAATTGGATAAAATAATATGTTATCATTTAGGGCAACCCTATCGCTTTTAGATTTACAATGAAAATTACACTAAAATTTTGATTAAAGGTATTAACTTACAACAAAAAACCAGTAACAGGTATGACTACATGATAATCAGTTTACTTGATGCAGATTTACTAAAACATTTTATGGAATCTTGAATTTACTGGCATTAAAATTTAACTTGTAAATGATGAATAGCTGACTTCTGATACAATGCTCACATGACATGGCAATTATCTTTATCATGATGCTGTGAAAGTAATGTATGAAAATATTACAATTAAGACATTCAGTATTGCACTTTTTTTTTTGAAAGAAACAAATACAACATAAATACAATTTGAAATGACTAAATAAAAGGTGAGAGGATTAGATTGTTCCACGCTGACAGGGATGTGACCAGACCACGAAAGAAAATGGACATTTTTTCTGACGGGACTCCTGCTCTAAAGCAATATCACTCCATTACTGGCTAGTCAAGATTATGGAGTTAAAGCGATGCTCCCTAATATATTATACATTTTATTTCTGTCAAGCTATTCAGGTGATCAACTAGTTCCAGAAAATAAAACACAGAATGTTAACAAAACAGGCTAGAAAAACAAGTTTTACTTCAATATGGTGCTTTAATCAAAATGTTTTAAAAGGCAGGAAGTAACCTGTTTTGAATATTAGCAGGCGTGCCAGTTCTCTGGGATATCCCAGATTTCTGGATTCGAGAATCATATTTTTTTGTGCCTTTCTGGATTTGCAAGATTTGAGTTTGAAAATCTCCGGGTTTGCAGTTAAAAAAATAAAAAATTAAGATCGTTTTAAGCTTGAAAATTTTGGCACTGTAATAATTTTTTTTTTATCGTCAAGACTCCCGCTAATGGCCCTTTCCGCCTTTTGCGCATGCATTGACGGTACATATCCACCTGTATAAATGTCAATTCTAGGTTTACACAGAAGTGGATATGTACCGACGACGCATGTGCAAAAGGCGAAAAGGGCCATTTTCAAACTCAAATCTTGCGAATCCGGAAAGGGAAAAAATATGATTCTCGAATCCGGAAATCCGGTATATCCCGGAGAAGTGGCACCCCTGCATATGTCATAACATGAACAACTGCTATTTCAGATAGCTGATGATGTCACTTTATCTCCCCCGCCCCCCAAAACCCCAACATGTTGTATGAACTTGTGGGCCAACTTGGGGTCACAGATTAAAGAAAGCCCTATTTACTCCAGATGTTACAATTTTTTTTAATCTCCCCTCCCCATGAAATAATTGTAGTTGACCCATACGCATTTGACATTGTTGGTGACTTCACTAGTCTTTAATTTTTTTAAATGACGCTGGCTTACATTTCTTTTTTTTAAATCTGTGTTTCTCCCAAAATTCAGTATCACTGGCTAAACGTCAAAATAGTCTGCTGGAAGTTGGTGATAATATTAAACAAGACTATACTCGCGTGCGATCCTAGTCCTTTAAGAAAGTTTATTGAGGTCTATCTCTAGACTACATGGAGAGTTCAAATAAGCCCAAAAAAAATCACCTGTAGCCGTAACTTAATTTTGATTAAACCAATCCTGAAAAAAACACCAATGAAAAAAATGACGTCACGCCAGAGGCGTAGCGACCTTTCCCGGCACCCCCCCCCCCTCCTCAAGATTTCAATTTGCACACCCCCCTCAAACTTTCGATTTGCAACCCCTCAAGATTTTGATTTGCACCACCCCACCCCCCTCAACCTTTCAATTTATTTTTCCAACCCATTTTGGCGCCCCCTAAGGTCAGCGCCCAGGGACATATGTCCCCCCCCGCTACTGTGTCACGCCAATGTTGGGTAACACTAAGCTAGCATAGCAGTAGATGTACCATGTACGCTGGCGTGATAGGTGGAAAACGGATCAATGGTAAAATAGTCTCGAGAACCAGAGAGACTAGTTTTGTGCGTCAAAACTAGATCACGAGACATGGCGAGATTAGCGATTGGATAGGCCTATACCCAGTACAAATCTCGCGATACCCGAAAGGAAAAAAAAAAACAGCTGGAAGCAAGATTTCCCGGATTTTAAAGATATTTTCCGGCTGTTCATCAAAATTCCCGGTTTTCCCGGCTTGGAAATTAAATTTTGAAATTCCTGGTTTCCCGGCTGCGTGGGAACACTGAGAATAGAAAATTTAGCAGTCCAGCTCTTTACCGGTAGGCCACTCCGTCCCCATGCAATGGTACTTAATATGAATATAATGTAGTTTTAGTTTAGGTACATACAGTTAATATCTAGATAGATTATACAGATAAGAAACCAAGCTTGGAAGGCGTAAGTTTCATTTGAAGAACAGGAACACTTTAGATTACTTTTGCCGTATTTTTAAATTGATATTTAACTGAAAATATCAGCGGGAAATTCCAACTGAATAATTTGCTACATGAAAACTTCAGAAATCAGAAGAAATTCAGAATATTGACCTAGGTTTAACCTAAATCTAGTATTGTTGGATCTAGCGTAATCATCCAATTGAAAAGAAATATGCATACTCAATCATCCATTTGAACCTCAGATTGAATCTAATTTCTGTACTGTAGTGTCACTTTGAGTTATGTACCCATTCAGCATACGTCATAGCAGGGACATAGCTATTTAAGATTGACTGTGTCTGCATTATTATTTTTGAGTTCACAAGAGCCACAGTAGCAAGAAGGAGGGCTGGGTTAGTCTAGTCCTCATAGTCTATCAATTATTACAAAATTAATCTGAGGTTGCCAAATTTAGGCTAAAGCTAGACTAACATGCATTCGAGATTAAAGGTAAAGAAACCAAGCTCAGGAGTTGTACGTTTCATGTGAAGAGCAGCAAAATTTTAGATTATTATTTTCTGTATTTTGGAGTTTGAACCCTCGGGCAGATGAGGCTTGTTAGCTGGGGACAGCCACTGTTCAAGGAGAGACAACTCCAAAATCAAACAACTGCTGCCTTGTAGTTTGTTCTTGGTTGGACAAAGGCTATGGAAGCAAATCCAAAAAGAAAAGCAGGCTGAAATCGAAGTCAATGGCCTCAATGGCGCATAACCAGTTGACACGTAACGCTTAATTGTGTTGGAGGCGTGGTCGAGTCGGCAAAAAGCTCATGGTTGATAAATTCGAACAAAGTCTCGAGTTCAAACGTACTGGCAGATAAATCTCGATCCCCTTCAACACTAATAATTAAGAACGAAGAAGAAGAAGAAGAAAACATCAGCGTAATATTTTGACTAAAAGAATTTGCGTTCTGAAAATTTTGGAAATCTGCCAAAATTCTGAATCGTGACCTTCATTTAATTAAAATCTAGCACCGGCAGAACTAGTACAATTGATTGAAAAGAAATGTGCGTATTACATTGTCAGTTTCACCTTATATCTGCACTGTAGGCAAAGCTTAATACTCTAAATAAGAATATGAGGAATGCTCATGTGGGTGGTTTCCATAAAAGTAATTTCGTTTTTTCCTTTTTTAAAACGTAAAAATTCGGCAAACATCTAAACTCTGCGGAAAAATTACTTTTGTGGAGGACAGTTGCAGCTAAAGCGGAAAGTCACATCCCTGCATTTTTAATGTCATAAAAGGATAACTTTACATGAACTTATAAACATTAGGTTATAAGAGTATGAAAACAATTTCATATCCACCTCTAGAGAATCCACTTCATCTCTTGGACCTGCTCGTCTCTGACTATAAGATGAAACACTTCTGATGTTTTTAGACATCGTACAAGTCGCAACCTCCTGTAAAGCAGAATAAAGTAGTTTACTTTTCAGTTTCATTTTAAAACATAAGTTTTTCATACGCCTATTAGATAACTCAAATGCACATGAGGTTTCTCTTACACCATGTTTACACATACATACTTGACCTAATTGTAGTGCTCTGTCCAAACAATGGCACTTATGTGATTACAAAATGTAGCTCAAATATAAAAAAAAATTTAGCACCCGCTTTCAAAATATGTAACCTATCTCTAGAAAAAAGTTACAAAATTACAAAACACTGTCTAATGAAAATTTTTAGTGCCTAATAATTACTATTTTGCATAAAAACCAGTAAGATTTTAATGGAAGCATCCACAGACAAGATGTGATTGACATGGAAAAATAATGTGCTTTTTCTCAATTAGGCCTCTAATTATATATAAATAATCTCTAGGTTACATCTAAATACCGCTTAATGTCAGCTTACATTTAAAAAACTATAGCTTTATTGATTTGACTATTCCTACCTTTCTATCTTCTAGGCCACATGAAAAAATATAAGCCAACAGTCAAAAGAGTTAAAACCTATCTAGTTTAAGTCCTAGTTACTTCTTAGTAGTTACAAGATAGATTTAGTATCTAGAAATGAGCATGTTAGTCTTAATTTTATTGTATTTCTCTCTCTACATATTATTTAAGGCATAATTTAAACCTACAGTTCAACTGCAAATGCCAAAGAAAAAAAACTAACAAACTTTAAGAAGCTTGTCCATGTTATGTATTGGTAGATTTTGTTTTAGATTAGCTTGTACATATTTAAGTAAACAAGGAAACAGAAACGTTTGCCAATGGGGGATTATTGCTTTTCCCAGCTCTTTTTTTCAATTTCGATTTATTAGTTTTCATTATTTTCTTAAAATAAAAAAGGCAGAACAGACGAAAACGGGATGGAGGAACAGGACATGATTATTTGTAAAAAAGCATAACAATTCTGCTTTTGGCAGGATAGTAGGCAAATCTGACAAATACATATATATATCTATATACACATGTCACCTTTTTTTGGAATCTCTGCCCCCTAACCCTAATCTATGCACTCAAGATTCTAAATGTCAAAAGCGTGTGCTTAAAAACTCAAGATCAGTATATTTGTATGCCATCAGCAGTGTGTAAATTATTACATATCTTTCTCAATTATTTCAATACTGCAAAAAATAATAATTTAAAACTAACTCTGTCCTCTGAATCAAGCAATGAAGTTGTCATTTCACCACCGACAAACCACTTTTTTCCTTTCATTACCAAATCACTTGGTGGGTTGTGTGTTTGATCTGAATCAGCACTCCAAAGCTTTAAATAAAACAAGTATTAGGAAACCCTTTTATCAAAGTCTATTAAAAAATTAGAATAAAAACTGTAAAAGTAATTAATTTGCATTCCCTAGGTCAGGGGTCGGCAACCTTTTGAGACAGAAGAGCCAAAAGTTACAATTTTAAAATTTTCAGTTTTTAAAGAGCCACTAACATTTTTCTTTTTCAATAATATGGTATTTGAAAAGGATTTGATTTTTATTTGAAATAAACAGCGTTAAATAGGAACATATTGATTCATAAAAAACACAAATGTTTAGCAGAAAAAGTGTTTAAGTATGACAATACCAAACTACATTAGAAGCCAATAACTTTTTTCCATTCTTTACAGACACCACAGGCTCAGGAGGTGTCTTCCATAGCCAGGCAGGTCTCAACACTGTCAACTCTGACTGACTGGTTTGGGTATTGGTTTGATTACTGCAACGGTCGCTTTTGTCCTTTGGTTCTCACGGGGCTTATCTTCCACCCTACTGAACGCAGGATAAGGAAAACTCATACCCCAAAGTGCAGTACATGGCTCAAACGTGGGAAGATAACTAAAATACTACTTTACTAAGGTAAAATGAATGCATACTGGCATATAGAAGACATCAAAAGAGCTGCATGCCAACCCCTGCCCTAGGTCTAAAAATGTTGATAAATTTTTAAATAAAATCAAATTCAAATCTTATTAGCTGGAAAAAACACCTCTCCTAAACCAATAATCTAAGAACTTGGTAAATAAAATTAAGCTTTACAGATTAAAAAAAACAAAAAAAAAACTTACAGTTATTGACTGCCCAGCTTTGATGACATTTTTAGAAAATTTATGTTTTGTCTCATTATCTCCAGAAACATGCCTGACTTGCCAATGATTTAGTGGAATGTCCTAGAAAACAATTTGATAATATACTCTTTGCTTTTCTAATGTTAAATTTTCAAAAAGTACAACATTTCTTGACTAAATAAACCGGGAGTGATCTCCCCTAAACTTTCTCGAATATCTATAAATATAATTCTCTTCTGGGAGACGCTAGAAAACAAGCTGTAAACGCGCTCCCTACCATCCCCACCCCTACATGGTCTTAGTGAGCTGTGGTTCATGCTGTTTGCCTTCGTGGAGTCGGGTTTAGTGACGGCTGTTAGTTTGAAACTATTTTAAACGTTGGGGGTCGGGGGGGGGGGGGGGGGGGGGGGGGGGGGGTTATGGTCCTTAACGAGCTATTTATAGTGTTTTAATGAAATATTTTCAGTGTCAGCGTTGGTACAGTCGAATCACAAATTATGAATTACTGAAAAGTAGAAAAAACAACAACTAAATAGAGGCGTTCTTATATAAAACAACAAGGGATGGGAACTCGGGATATAGTTATGATTTTTAATCCATTTTAAATACATAAACTTTTTAAAATAAAATAGAATCTCATAGAAAAAAAGTATTGCACACCAAGCAAACGCCGAATAAAGATGTTCATAATGGTGCGCAATATTATTAGTACTTTATAAATTTAGATGCGTTTTTGAGAAATCGGAAATAGCGTAAATTAGTACTTCCCGTCAAGGGAAATTACTCAAAATTTAACAGAAGGTAGAGAATTAGATCTTTTACTTACATGTGAAATTTCATTTATCTATCTGAAATAGTACTCAAGTTATAGGCTTTTGAAAAATTCAAAGTAGAAAAAGTACCACTTCCGGTTATCAGAAATCGCTCAAAAGTTGATACGGATCTACAATTTTGATAAAATACTTATATATGAAATTTCATCAACCTAGCTGTAACGGTACTCAAGTTACCGTGTTTACACACACACACACACGGACAAGATTGCAAAATTATGTTTTTCCGTATCAGTGAGGTGTAAAACGTCGAGATTTGGAAAAATCTCGATTTTTTTTTTTGCACGATTACAATACTTTCTCTATACTACGTTTATACGAGAAAGTAAAAAAGGAAGTCACCTTATCAGTTGTGTTTGTCAATTTAATGAACTTGCCATCTGTGTCCACATCTGATATATCAATACCACAGGTTGATGAAGCTGAGCGACTGTATCCACTTGAAGATGAACGCTGAGTGTACTCTTCAACAGCTTGACTTATATCTACTCTACGTCTTTTCTTACCACTACTTGCAGTACTTGTCATTGATCTGTCTACTGATGCTGATATGTTAAGTCTAAAAATAGTTTTCAAACAGATAAAGGAAACATATGTATGAAAAATTTCAACATTATTAAATAATGACTTCAATACGAATAAACCTTGTGGCTGCGAGGTTCCAGTGTTAGCTAAGAAAACTTAAGTAGCACTCACTGAAACTCCCAGGGATGTGACCAGACCAGGAAAAAGAATTAGGAAATTTTCTTCAGACAAGAACTCAATGTTTTATCTATTTTTTTAATCGCAGTAGAAGCAGTCTCACACCATTACTGTTCTAATTAATCGTTTAATATAGCTAATATTATAAATAAAAGAAGTTTACGTTACTCTAAAATGACATTGTAAGTCTTGTCTAATTGCAATTTAAGGGGATATGCTAAGTTTTTTTTCTATTTTTTTACAGTTTAACATCTAGTCTCTCCTAGAAGAGTTCCTACCCCAATCTATTGAGGCAGTGGGAACCCAGCATCATAGACCAGCAATGTGAGAAAGAGAAACTGAGATGCAGGATGGGAGGGTGGTAGAATTCCAACATGCATATAATTAGAAAGTAGCCAGGGCCTAACAGACTATGGAATGAAATTAGCAGGGCTAAAACTAGATTTAGGCCTAGTTGAAATTTCATATTTATGGGGAAAAATCTTTAGGCCAACAAAAATTAGCCGTAAAACTCATTATTCAAAATATCAAGTAAATTGTACCGTGTTTCCTCAGATTCCAACAGCTTTCTGTAAGCTTCTATTTCTCTGTCAAGCTTTATTTTTATTTCCAACAAATTGGCATATTCTATTTCTATATCTTCAAGTTGCGTTCTTAATAATGATATTTCATCATCCCTTTGTTGCAGCCTTGTTCGAAAATCATCTCTTTCTCTAGCAAGTTGTTTTTCAAGATCTCTTATCCGCTGATCATAGCCTGAATACTTGAGAAAAAATATTTTCAGTAAATCTTACACACCAATCCTCTCAAGGAAAATGAATAGCACAACTTTAACCCAAAAACTGATAATGGTTGGAACTGTATTCAGAATAATGTTTTTAATTTTTAGTTCATTAAAACTATTGCTTTTCTGCGGATAGTGAGTTGTTGTAGGATTACTATGTATACTATGTATAGTATGGTTATACATGTGTAGTAGCGGAAGTCTCATTGATAACAAGATTTTGAAGATACTGACAGAAGCGGGAAATAAGTTTTTATTTACACTGTTTTTTTCCTCAAAATTTCAGGCAATATAATTAGTGAAATTAAAGCTAATTAAAATGCCTCTGTTGTTTAATCGAGCGTTGTTTATAACATAACTATTGAAAAAGAAAGTAGCTCCAGTGACTACGTAGAATTTTTTTTTTTAGCACTTAAAATATAAATTTTATAGAAATAAAATTAGTAGTGTTTCGATTACATAGTGTTATAGTGTTATTTTTATTAATTATTAGTAAATTATTTAGCTATTTTAACCTCATGCATAATAAACTTGGACCAGTTTAGTGTATGATGCTTTTTACTTTTGTAAAAAGTGCAGTGCTTGAATATTGCGCATCTTTCACCTGGCCTTATGGGAGCTAAAATAGTTTGACGCCCAAGCTGGTAAATGGTTAAGAATGTCTCGTAAATTTTGTTTTCAAAAGAAGACGTGATATTTACCTCAGACTTAAGCTTATTAAGCTCAACAGAAAGGTCATCAATAGTTTTTCGAGCCAGAGATAACTCATCCCAGGCAGCACTAGATGATGAATTACTCCTTGCAGCTTGTGCCCTTAAATCCTCTATCTGAAATTAAAGATGACATTTTAAACTTCTATAAAAACAAGGTTACAAAAGATTAAATAAAGCGGGAGTGATCTCCCCTAAAGTTACCAGAAAATTACATTTTAAAAATACAATCGCATAGAAAAAAGTATGGCGCCCCAATTGAACAAAAACAATGTATGTATAAATAGAGCAGAAACTTTCGCTTTTATAACAGAAAAGATTTAATTTCAAAGAGTTGACTCATTTGCTACTAATGCAAGGGGTGCCGTTCTTTTAAACCCTTTGAGCCAGACAGGTCTGTTTTCCGGCTTCAACCATAGGCATATATGTCCGAAAAGCTGGTTTTCCGGCCCGATGATCTAGCGTCATAGTCCTAGTGGCTGGTATACCGTCTTATTAAATATAATTAGCTGCATACTGAATAAAACGACGCATGTCTTTTTAGAGCGGGATTATGATTCTAAAAATAGATTTTGGGGAAAGTGTTTGCATTTCGTAAAACACATTGTCGGTTATTTTATATTATTTTATTATTCGGTTATAATTATTATTAAATAATAGATAAGTTACTCTAGTTTTGTCATTATGTTTAGTAAGTAGTATTGGTATATAAATATTCTATTAGTGCTAACTTTTGTTGTACAAATAATTTTTTTTTTTAAGCAATGCCGCCGAAACGAAAAACTGAGCCACAGCCATCAACTGTGTTCATTTTATATACATTGGTATGTTCATACATTGTAAAAAATTGAAGAATTTCAGAATCTTGCTGAATTGTTGTTTGATACTGAGCCTGGATACCAAATTTGGCTTGATTATCTCAAACGATTCAAAAGTTGTATGATTTTGAAGAAATACATGATGGCGGCCATCCGCCATCTTAGATTTGTAAAAAAAATTAAAAAATTCCCAATTTTGCTGAATTTTTGTTTAACACTGAGCCTTGATATCAAATGTGGTTTGATAATCTCAAACAGTTCAAAAGTTATTGGCAAAGTTAGAAACAGATAAGTTTCAAAATCATACAACTTCGAACAAATCGAACAGCAGTCTGTGCGTCATGTTTTCATTTTCGGTCCACTTCAAAGTCTATAGACGCCTTTATTATAGGGCCTAATATGACATATCATACATATTAATAAACGTCGAGATTTCAGGAATACAGCTCAGGGTTCAAATAAAAAATCGGTTCATTAATAGCCCAAATAACTTAGTTTAACTTTGCGGTCCGATATCTCCGAAAGTATTTAACATATTTTAACCAAGAACCCTGAGCGTTATATGTGTACATTTAATCTATTCTTCTACCAAGTTTCACAGTTGTAGTACGCAAACTCAAAGAGTCTATAGACTCCAAGCAACACCCCCCTTTTAAAAAGGTGAAAAAGCCTCCCCCCTAATCGGCACGTCGCCGCGGGGGGTAAAAAAATGCGATTTAATCTGCGATTTCTTCAACGTCTGAAATAATACAGAAATCAAACTTATACAGTTTAAAAGGTTACTCAATTACGAACAGAATGATGTTTAACATGTTAATATAAACACAATAAAAGCATGCAAAAAAAAAAAGAGTTAAACATGCAAGGGGTAGGGAAAAGTCAATTTGTCCAATTTTCTCGGCAGCGGCATTGGCCTAGCTACTAAAAGCATACCTTGTTATTATAAAGAGTTTCAAGCTCCACTTTAACAGACTGCAAATCATAGTCATGTTGTGCTCTTATCTCACGCAATGCATCCTGTAGTCGTGCCTCATATTCTTGTTCAATTCTTCCATCTACCTCCTCTAGTTGGGTAGTTGTACGAATCCTTGATTCTTCTAATTCCTATAGTAAGAAAGAATAGCTTTTCAAGTTTACCAACTCAATTCCAACAAAACTTATTTCTCATTCCTCCAATCATAAAAAAATGACTCATTTCTATAACATAAGGTGGATTTATCAACATGGTTTGTAAAAAAAAAAAAAAAAAAATGGACAAAATACTTTAAATCACAAAAATGGTCTTTTAAAATAAAACAAGATTTCATGTTCTAATATTTAAAAAAAAAATTGTAGAATAATTGAATTTAAAAAGAGCGTAAATAATTTGTGTATAATACAGAGGAAAATTAGTGCTTTATAAAGGCAACATTATTTAATTGCAAGTTAATTAATGTCCGACTTTAGTGGCATTTTTAAGTCGTAATGCTTTATCAAGGCTAGACCAGCATGAAAAATTAGAAATCTAGTAGAAGTGGTCAAAATTTTTATCACTGGTTGCACTGGTGAATGATAAAGAAATCAAGATAAATAAATTCTTATGGTGTTTCAATAAATTGGAAAAAACTTAATGAAAGTAATTTCCGTCTAAGATCTTGTACTTGTATGGAAATTCTATTCACCTAAATTAAACAGCACTTAAGTTATCAAGGTCTAACAAAATAGAGTACTACAGTCTGTTAGTCGACTGTTATAATAATAATGTTAATAAAATCCTGCCACTTTATATAATACTTAGGGAGGTAAACAGAATTTGACAGCAAATGGCATATTTGATATTCGCTGTTCATAAAGTAAATTAGACATCATTTGACTTTTTTTTCACTAATAGATAGATCTATGTCTTTGGAAGCTTTGTGGGCTATATATATATAAATATATAGATGTGGATGCTATGCTTTATGATTTTTAAAGTGTAATTTTGAATGAAGAATTTTATGAGCTGTAAGCAAGAGAACAAAAACTGGTATGCTCAAATTGAAAATTATCCCCACTATAAGTTAGGCCTATGGTTGATTTGGTGCAAGCAAATGTTGCCAAGCCAGGCTGCTGATTCGATAGTTTGAATTCGGGTGAAGTCAGTAGAGCGTCCCTGAGTCTACACAGCTCTGTTGCAGATGCGTAATGACCCTTCCCTGGGCCGTGGACAAACTTTGAATTTGGTGCCCCCCTCGGGAGCAAAGAATTTACACCCCCCCCCCCCCCCAAAGTATTTATAATGCAAACATGTAGCTAAAATGACGTTTTAATTTGTTTTTCCACCCCTTTCTAACGCACCCGGGGACATATGTACCCCCCCTCCCTGCTATGCCTCTGCTCTGTTGGGTACCTATGTTACCCCCCCCCCTACTATGCCTCTGCTCTGTTGGGTACCTATGTTAAGGAAAACAAATGCGGCTGGGCAGAGTGCTGACCACACTATCCCTTCATATCCTTGAAACAGATGAACTTCTACTTTATCTGCCCCATGTGTTTTGGGCACGAAAGATAAATTAGTTTTATTACATAAACCTCTTTATTGCTAACAAAACAGGAAAAAAATTATGACTGGATGACATCAGGGACAATACAGTCTTTTGCACTTTCAGAATGCATTAGAGCACAAGACGGATGGCAAGACATTGGGGAGAGACAACCAACAAGCCCAACAACTGTCCGCCAGCCAGCAATTTTTTTATGGAGTGTGTGTGTGTCAAATACTCAAGATGTAGAGCAAGGAGGATTTTTATTAGTAAAAAAACTCCAAATAATCAAATTAAAATTAGATATTTTTTTAAAGTGCTTTTAGAATGTGCTTGCACGATCTCGTGTCATAGGCCTCATGGTAGGCGCAAACATGAAAAGTAGGTGAGGTAAAAGAAGTACAATGAAAACAGCATTTCACAACACATTTCTGTTTCATACTTAATATAGAGAAACAAATAGTCTAGTTCAGCACAAAAGCTTTCTGGTTGTTATAAAAGGAAAAAAAAAAAAATGGAAAAGTTACATCTCTCCTAGAGATAATTCTATAATGTTGGTAAACTTATATGTAAATATAAATGTCACATTATCAAGCCAAATTTTCCCCCCACCCAGATCGTAATTAATAGCTAGACAGCAACACAACAGAAAATAGATTGAAAATTGAGAGTATAGTTTTCATGCGTAACCACCCTTTTAAAAAAATAACATTTTGTATATATAGTTGTAGCAAATTCACACTGCCACAGTAAGTTTACACCACATTGACTACTACCAACCCCAGACAGAGGCTAGTTACTGAGTGAACAGCATCTATATATACAATTTTCTTCATGGAGACCATAGGAAACACCACGCAGCTTAGCCACCACCCTCATCCCCACCTGTCAGGTGAGCTGTGGTTCACCCAGAATGTTTACAATAGTAGAGCCGGTTTGAATAAGTGACGGCTATAAGGGGCAAATAATTTAGTTTTTAAAAGATTTGAAATGTTTACAATAGTAGAGCAGGTTTGAATAAGTGACGGCTATTAGGGGCAAATAATTTAGTTTTTAAAAGATTTGAAACAAAGGGGAGATAAGTTCTGCTTGATATTTTCATTGTCGCCTGTAAATGTCTGCTTTCACTGGGCGTGGTGTGGCAGGCAGGAGGGTGGGGTAGTGTGGAATTCATTAATTATGAGCAGGTCAGCTCCTTCTATAAACCAGCGAAACAGTCATAAAACAGGGGAGAAAGATGCAACCATTTGAATATGGGTAGCAGACATGCCTGCCATCCCACCAAAAGCGACTTTTTTCAGCTTTTTCATAAAAATCGTGTCCAGTTCCCCCATTCTGTTTTTGTCAAAGTTTGTTCCATCTTTTGAAAAAAAAGAAGAAAGGGATTATCTCCCTTTTGCAAAGGGATTATCTCCCATTACTGTTTCCTTACAGTATTTATAAGTATCATCTACTAATAGATAAGGTGGACAATCTACCTTCTGAATGTTCTTTTTAGTATTTGCCATTGAATTGTAGATTTAAATAATGCCTTAAATAACATGGAGGGAGAAAAATACAATAAAATCATGACAACATTAATTTCTAGATCTAGATACAGATCTGTATTGTAAGTAATAGTAACAACTAAGAAGTAACTAGGACTTTTACAAGGTAGATTTAGATTTTAACTCTTAACTTATATTTTATATTACATATGAAGTCTTCAGCATTTGTTGTTCATATAGCCTAGAATATTGCAAGACATAGCAAGGCAGGAATGATCAAATCAATAATGTTATGTCTAAGGGATAGTTTTTATTAGGGGTTCTCAGGTTAATGGTTAACTTTTTTTAAAAACGCAAGCTGACATTAAGCAGTATTTGAATATAGCCTAGAGACTTGTTATATATAACTAGAAGCCTACTAAAGTCATTAGATTTATTTTAAATTATTTTTATTTTGACTTAGTAAAGTAGCATCCATGGTATGTTCCTCTTTTTGGCTTCAAATTCCCTTTTTAAAATCTACAATTTGATAACAAATGCCAGAAATCCTTTAAAAAATTTGTGTTAACTTTTAAAGACGCTTAACCATTGATGACCCTTAACGCTCGAAACCCATGATGGCCTGTAACGCCCGCTTACAAAACGCATAGAAAAACTAAATTTGTTTCAATAAAATTTGGCCTACAAATCCTAATTTTTAACTAAACAGGAAATTGGATAGTTTCAGCATCCTTTACCAGTCTTCTAATAAATTAAGTTGACTTCGGAAAATGACCTGTTCTGGATTTTCTCTGACATTTTTTATTTTTATACTGTACTTGTACTGAATATAATATTTTCTATGTAATACTGTTGGAAAGCCAGGTTTATTTCCAACATTAAGCAGTAGTTTTTATCTTAATTTTCAATTTAATGTAGACTAAAACAAATATTTTGTGAAAGTGTTCACTTGATCATACAGAGTTATGCTCCTTACATTGGGATGTCAAGGGTGGTGTTTTGGTAGAATGAATGGGTCATTAATGGTTAATACTATTCAGAGTTCAACAGCTAACTTTTAAAACTTTTCACATAATCTATTCTACATATTGTGGAATATTCTATTCATTTGTTGTTTTTTTACACAATTTTTTTTTTGTAAATAAGTGGAACAAGTCAGTTTTTAGCATGATAATTGGCATGTCTGATTTATAAAAATGGTGAACAGAAAGATATGCAACGAAAAACTGCACACAAATAAGTGTGTGAGAGAATTTATTTTCTTTTATTCTATCATTTATAGACATTAGCAAAAAATGACTTTATGTATATTGTAGCAAAATAAAACATTCTCACACAAAATATGACATAATTAAACCCTATAAGTATTGTTTATATTAATATGCACAATTTCTGGGAACCTATAAACATATTACTTTACCCTGCATGCGCAGTATTTAATGAAATTTATGCTAAGATGTCAAATAGTGAGATGTCTTTGGATAGTCTCCATTCCTTATGAAAAAGACTTAGAATTTTTTTATTAGATTACTATAAATGTCACATGTTCTTTAAAAACAAATAATCAAGTCTAATAATCATGTTTTTAAAATATTGAATAAAGCTTTCTAGACTAATCATGGTTGGGTCCATCACTAATTTTCAGACTTGATGATTCAATCTACATTCATTTCAATTTACAATTTTATGCCACAAGTCGTGGGACCAAAATAATATAATTGGCGGTCGTCACTTTATGGGATTCATAAAAATATTATTTTAACTACATTTTATTATAATAAAGGAAAAAAATAACCTCAAAGATGTCACAGCTTTCAAACTTACTTGCTCGTAAACTTGACTTTTAAAATGAAGATCTTCCTTCAATGTTTTAACTCTATTCTCAAGATCAACCCTTAGTAAAGTCTCATCTTCCAATTGCTTTTTAGCTGTTGCAAACTGTAGATCAATTCTGCTTAACTCCGCCTTTAAATTCTAAGGGGGGTGGTGGTGGAGAGAGATAGAAGAAGAGTAGACTTCAATTTCTAATAAATGCATATAAAAACTATACACAAGCTAACCAGTTTTCTTCAATAAAGAAAACCACATGAAAATTCAGTTTAAGTTTTAATTAACGTAATAAAGCGGGAGTGATCTCCCCCTAAACTTTCTCAAATATTCTTAAATAACATTACGGGGGATGCCAACTCGAGTTCTAGACATGATTTTAATCCATTTTTAATTACTTTTGAAAATAGAATAGAATCTACTAGAAAAAAAATTGTCCACAAAGTGGAAGACAAACATTATCTGTATAATAGTGCTGAATATTAGCACATTATAAATTCATATTAGTTTGGGTTTTTTTGAGAAATTTGTAACGTAAATTACTTTTTCTGATCAATGGAAATTAAACTGACAGAATTGCAAAACCCAGTTTTTCCAACTAGATTACGCATAAAACTCCTAAATTTTGATAAATCTGGACTTGCTATTTTTGCCCCATCAAATACTTAGTATATGATAAAGTACTGAGGTATTAAACAGTGAAAACTGTCATAATTTCATGTGATTATTGTGCATGATTACAATACTTATTGTATACTCTGTATACGATATAGTAAAAATGCAAAAAATAAAAAACTTACCTGGTTTTCTTTTTCAAGTTCCCTAGACTGAAATTCTGCCAATTGTCTCTCTAAAGTTTGGACTCGTCTTTCTAAGGCACTAGCATCACGGTCTCGTTTATTAAATCTAAAAAACAACAGTGTACACTCACTGATATACTTTAAAATTGTAAATGTTTAAGGATAGACACAACATAAAGAAATTTTTTAAAATTTAACATGATTCAGTGTGTTTAATAGATTCATATATCAATAGTTGTTAACCTGTGGACAAAAATAATATATAGCTGCCGATAGCAGTACTGGTTGCCATGGAAACCATGAAAAGATTTGAAAACTAACATCTTTTCAAACCTCTGTAACTATAAAGAAATTTTTAAAATCTTTTTACACATTTAGATTTCTCAAACCAAACTATATATTTCTATTTCTATGTTTATTCATTGCAATAGCTTGTGTTAAATTTTTAATAAAAATTTTTACTTACAACTATGTACAAAAATTAGGGGGTGGTGGTACTTTAATATCAAAATTTCTTAAAGGGGTCATCCATTTATGACGTCCATGAAAATCTGGGATTTTAGACCCCCCCCCCCCAAATTTAGTTGACCCCTAAATACGTGCTGCAAAATTACTAGTTCATTTACATGCAATGTGTACATTAACAAACAATGTAATAAAGGGATTTTATATTTTCGGTGACATCTATTACTAGGCCTAAGTAATTGGGAGTTAACTTTTCCAAGATGTCCGTAAATCTACTGCCTGTAAACTTACCGTGTGAATGTGCTAAGACTATCAATTGCTCTCTATTGAAAGAGTGATCGCACATGGACGCTGTGTACCCAACCTCTCGATTTTAAAGGCTTTTTAAACCCACTTTTTGTTAGAGTCAGAGATTGCAGGCAGTCCATGCATTTTTTTATAAATTGAAGCTGCTGTAGACTGATGTTTTTACTATCATTTGTGGCTGTCTAGCAATCAACGTATATCTAGGTTCGGATGAATTAATTCGGCATATCAATGTGACATCATTATATTACTTTTGCTCAACTTTTGCATGTGTTTTCATAACAAACCACCTCGTGGTCGTGAAACACCTGACCAAGCGAGTACATTATACACGCGATGATATTTAAATATCTAATTGTAACATGATTTTTAATTGAAAAAAAAAAATGACTAGATCTACATCATCTTAGGCTTTGACACAAAATAATGATGTCGGTCTGCTATGATTTAGATACAATTGTTTGAAATGTTTAAAATAAACTTGAAATACCCTGCAGACATGCCTACCCCTGTCAGCCAAGAGTAGGAACAGTCATCCCTAAAAAGAGGAATGTGAAGCCAAAAAGAGGAACATACGCATGGACATTACTTTACAAAGTCAAAATTTTAAATAATTAAAAATTAGTCAAATGACATTAGTAGGCTTCTAGTAATATATAACTAGTCTCTAGGCTACATTTCTTCCTCATTCTTAATTTTTAGTGGTGGAAGGGATCGAGCCTTATCTACCGCAGGGTTCCAACTCGACTTTTTTCAAATTTATCGACCACGAGCTGTAGCTATTGACGCACCCACCAGTTATTCAGAGCTATTTTGAGCTTAAAATTTCAAATAGGTATAATTCAAACTGTGGTTGTATGAAAGCACTGCAGGTTCAAAAATAGGGGAGGGTCCCATGTTCCACTTTTGTTTTAAAAAATTCTACCCATATCTTATTTATGCTTCCATATGATAAAAAAAAATTTCTCGAAAGCTTAAACAAATTCTACCATGTAGTCAGAGGCGTATCCAGGTTTTCGTTGTAGGGGGAGCGAAATGAGCAAAAAAAGGCGCCAAATTTTTAGCACGTTCTATATACATGTATTATATATATATATATATATATATATATATATATATATATATATATATATATATATATATATATATATATATATATATATATATATATATATATATATATATATATATATATATATATATATATATAAAGTTTCCAAAAAGGCGCCACTTGGCTGAAAATGGCCAGAGGGGGAGCAGCCGCTCCCCCTGCGTACGCTACTGCATGTAGTAATTTACATGCTATGATCATTTTAGTGCACACTAAAAAAAATGTAATCACAGAAATTTTTAAAATCCTGTGTTAAAAAATGCACCCTTTTTAATAGGAAAAAAATATAACTTTTTAACCATCAGAGCTACATCAAATGGGAAAACCGCTCTGTGATTCAACTTTTTTGCTTCTTTAACCTGCAGTCATTTTATTGCAATCAAACCATTTTTAAAATTCTATCCTAGTACCTATTCTAATCAACGATAATAACAACCTAAAACACCAATTTTATGGAAGTCTATTATCAGAGATCAGTATCTAAAAATCACTCAAAATCTATATTTAATTATATTGAGCGAAAAACAGGAGGATGGCCCAGCTGTGTTTTGGCAGTGTGCAGAACTTGTTTTGGTGGTGTTTATAGAATATAGATAGGCCTAAATATGGTGAAACCTTAGTTTAGCTATGTAACTTCGGCCAAAACTAATAATGTTGGGGAGAGTATGAGTAAATTTTCTTTTATTTTATTAAAATATTATAGATAATTGAATAATGAATCATTATTTATGGTTAAATCAATTTAAATATCCTAAAATTAATTTTAATAAACATTGTTCGAGATAGTAAATTGCCTATTAAAAACAGCAGCCACTTTAAGAAAATATTATTTAGAGTAGCTTCCCTTTCATTTGTATTTGTATACAGTTTGTATGTTTGCTATTTTCATTTCAGTTTTTTGTCGTATATGACAGTTTTTTTTTTTAGTTCTGTGTACATTAATTTTCGTTGTCAATGTAAAAAAAAGTCATAAGGGGTCGTCCATAAATGACGTCTCACTCATAGGGTGCACACTTTTGCATTATAAAAAAGCAATGTTAGCAAACAAATTTTAGATGTTATTTCGTGTTTTAGAAAACTGTTGTAGTAAATTGTAATAGGTATTGATCAAAATATGCTATGATGACAGAGTTCAGACAAGATTTTGGAAAAATATTGATGTTTTAAGAAAAATTCAACTGCGATTTTGAGGGGGGGGGGGGGGGGGGGGGGGTCGCAGGCAGAGGTGTGACGTCATTTTAGGGGGGCGCGTCTGTGACTGAGGGGAGGGTGAGGTAAAAATCACCAAAAAAGTGATACATCATTTATGGATGATCCTTAAATGTAAAAAATTACATTTTGTTCTGCCTTTATCAATAATTTTGACAAAAATAAATGTTTTTCATCATTTGTATATACGAGAGACAAAATGTATTATCCACCAGCTTCCCTCTTAAAACATCTAAAAAAAATCAGCCACTCCACCCCTTAAGTGTGTGTTGTCATTATCCTAAGTCTCCATTTTTCCGATACACTTTAGTTATCCTTTGTTGTCAAAATGTCAATATCAAACACCCGAACGAGTGATATGGGGCTCTCCATAAATGTCACATTTGATTTGCTACGGGAGTGAAGATCTGTGACGTCAACTCAGGCGGCTCCACAATTTATGACGTGTAGGTCTAATGAAAGTAGGTGAACGGGGAAAAATACCTAGGTCATTGACGGAAAACCTCTATAATGCTATGTTCAATAACAATAAATAAGCAGTAGTATATGTATACCTTGCTCAAATCGAATGCTAGTTTGAGACGTCTGGAAAGGGCCCGGGTCCACCGAACGGGGGCGACTTAGAGCACCAGTAGGCTATCTCTGTAAATACTTTAATTGCGAGAAATTTTTTTTTTATATACATCTTTTGAGGACAATTTTTTTTGGACTTGAAATATGTTGACTGTCTGGCCTAATACACAGCTCTTAATTTTCAAATATAACTTAATGAATCAAGCTTCAGATCTATAATATACTTAAAATAAGTGTCATCTTATCGTTTATTGTACTTTTTATAAAGCGCAGAGCAGCTTCAAAATCGGACGGCCATCCTCTTGTCATCAAGCTTCTTTTGGGGCTTAACTGGTAGTCTAGTTCTATACGGGGGAGCTTAATACATTTTTAAAGGGCCGAAAGTTTCAAGACAGCAAGCTTGCAGAAATAACCACATACTGTTTAAATGGACGAGTTATGGATGGGTGTGGGGGTTGTTTAATTGAACACCAACATAAGTAATCAAATTAAACGTCAAATCGGCAATGCTTTTTTTCTTTTCTATAAATTTAGCCTTAACTGTCGGCAATACCGGTACATGACATAACACGCGAGCATTAACTCCGTGACGATGTGCTAAGTGGTGGAGAAGAAGGTGGGGTTCAAGAAAGCGACTCAGCATGCATTTTACATTTCTTGACCCTTCTAAATAGTTCTATCGCCCCCACTGATAAAATGGATCACCAATAAATGACGCGTCATACTTCTACAGCTGGTCTACAACCATCCTGTTTAGTTTCACCTAAAATAAACCCGGAGTGGTCTCCTCTAAACCTTCTCGAATATTCTCAAATAACACTACGATGGATGGCAACTCGGGATATAGACAACGACCCGCTGCGTATCATACGCCGCTATTTAGTTGTTTTTTTTTCTACTTTTCAGTAATTTATAATTTGTGAATTCGACAGTACCAATGCTGCCACTGAAAATATTTGCTTAAAAACACTAAACCCCCCTCCCCACGTGAAAACAGCCTCCTCTTAGTTACCTCCTCTAAGTTTAAAATAGTTTCAAACTAAATTATCTGCCCCTAATAGCCGTCACCAAACCCGTTTCTATGATTGTAGAATGTAAACAGCGTGAACCACAGCTCACCAGACCATGTGAGGGGGTGAGGGGTGGTAGCTATAGAGAGGAAGAGAGGGGACTGTAAGGCGCGCTTGCAGCTTGTTTACTAACGGCTCCCAGAAGAGAATTATATATATAAATATTTTTAATCCATTTTTAATTACTTAAACTTTTATAAACAATAGAATCTTGTAGAAAAAAGAATTGCGCACCAAGTAAACGCTAAACAAAATGTGTATAACTGTGCGGAATATTATAAGTTTTTTGAGAAAAAGGAAATAGTGTAAATTACAACTTCCGGTCTATGGAAATTACTCAAATATAGCAGAAGGCAGAGAATAAGATCTTGTTTTTACTTACTTGTGAAATTTCATTTATCTGTATGAATTAGTATTCAAGTTATAGGCTTTTGAAAAATTGAAAATAGAAAAAAAAATCCACTTCCGGTTATCGGAAATTCGTTCAAAAGTTGATACGGATCAACAAATTTGATATAATATAAATGAAATCTCATCAACCTAGCTATAATGGTACTCAAGTTATAGTGTTTACAGACACATACACACAGACAAGATTGTGTTCACTCTATGACGTATGCTTAAGCCTGCTGAACTCAGTGACCCCGCCAACCGTGGGCTGTGGTGACAGTTAACGTAAACAAGCAATCACGCCAGTGACAATGTTTGGAAATTTTATTAAAAATTAACGTCATGTTTTCAAAATGAAAAAATTAAATGTAAAAAAGAAACCAGTATCGTTTCGTGCTAACCCTGGTTCGAACTCTGAGCTCCAGGTCTGTGAACTACCACACTGGCAAAGGAAAAAGTAGCCATTTTCAATCACAAGATGGCAAATCGAACCTGTGAGCATGTAGTCACTTTGTTATGGGCCACGCTATGCGAGACGCGTAGTCACTTCGTTAATAATATTTACATTTACTAGGCCTAATTGTTGCTAATTTTCTGTCAATTAATCATTAAATTAAGTTAAAACTTAAATTTAATGCACTTGACTTTTATTTCAACGGTCAAATAAACTTTGGTTTACAGCAACGAATGTTACCGAAACTCAACAAACGTGACCAGATCATTTCCGACGCTATATCGTGAGATAACCCAATTGTCTGTTATGTAAAATATGTCATAAATATGGCCAAATGAAAGAAATATTCATTAGTTACTTCCACCACACATTACTAGTTTCGTTGGAATTTACGACGCTAAGCGACTAAACTAAGGTTTTACCCTAGATCTAGAGTGAAGTTCCACAGCCGATCACACATAGTGGAAAATTCCAAACTCCCGACTTTCATCAAGCGCTATTTTGTAACCGTTTCACACAGAAACAAACCCTAAGTACTATATTATTCCTCTGCCATTCTACTCTAATATGTATCAATCATTTTATATTCCTACGCATAGAATTTGAGAAATTCATGTTTTAGTGACGTGCTATTTGCGATATTTTTTCCCCCTTTTTTTCCTGAGGCCACCCGAACCGGCTAGCGTAACAATCGTATTTGATACATTTTAATCCAATTTTAATAACTAAAATAAATATTTTACACTTTTAAGCGTGTTGTTGATTGTATTATTAATTAATAGATTGCAAAACCAAATAAAAAAACACGTTAGGCCTAATTAAATTTATTAACGACACATTAAAGGTTGACCCAGTGATGACTCAAGCGACGTAACTATAATAATCATAACAAAGGGACATAATCACTAAAAAGACAAAACGCAACATTTGCTTAGATATGCTTGTGTGTAGGGACACAAACTAGATTTAGAAGAAGTAGATGATCGAAATAATTTAAAACAGAAAAAAATAGAAATTATATAGATTCTAGACTTAGCTTGAAATATAGAGCATCTAGATCTAGGCTTGTCTAGCTTAAGTCGGTTACGCAGCGAGGTGAAACCACCCAAATCGTTACCCAAGCTGCGGCCACCCCTATTCACCTCTCAGGTTGCTTTATTAGCCTTATCTATCGTATGTACATTGTCCCGCACATATTGTAGAAGCTATTTATAGTTTACCTAGTTATAAAAAGCTTTGATTGGTTGGTTTTGTAAATTTTGTTCGTCTCTTCCAGGACCTATATCTAGTGTTTTTCATACAAGGAACTAGAATTGCCTACGACGTCATACCTCAAAACTTAAAAATATTAAAACTCGTCTTCCTTAAGGAGAAATACAAAAGAATTTGACCTGGATATATTTAGAAATGGACATTGTACAGCAGATATCGGTAGTTTCGTATAAAACATCCAAACAAATATTATACGAAGCAATAAACAGGCGATGGCCGCACCAGTGTTTTAACCACATGTGGAACTTCACTCTAGATCTAGATTCTAGATCTAGAATTCTAGAATCTATTAGTTAGGGCCTAATAAGTTAATAGTAAAATACTCTCTAAGTGAAGCTGCAAATAAAATATGCTAAAAATGGAGTTTTACCAGAGATCTAGATCTAGATCTACTTACTTTGCCTGCAACTCTTCAAAATCAGACTTATACTTGTTTGCTTCAATCTGTAAACGAGCCTTTTCTTTTGCAGTTTCATCGAGTAGTTTTCTAAGTTCAGCTAGCTCCGACTCATAAAGGGTCTTGACGCTAGTAACTTCTCTCCTTACAACCTCTTCTGTAGACTTTACTTGGTATGCTAGGCGACTATTTTCGGCTTCCAGGCTCCGAACTTTATCTATATAAGCTGCTAAGCGGTCGTTTAAACCTTGGAGCTCCTCCTGCTCTTGCATACGCGATAGCCTTGCGGGTGATGGCGGTCTGCCGGCTCCTGAACGTCGGCTAGACGAACTAAAACTTGAACTTGCGCTTTCACCTCCCGAAGTTATTGTAACATTTTTTTTAACCTGTTTGGTAGCCATACTGTGTTTTAGAGAACTTCAATCTAAAAATGTAAACTGGATTTTAAAAACACGACAATTACAATGGGTCTAGATTTCTAGATCTAGAATAGCCAATAGTCAAAAGCTACTGATGTTTATCCTCGCTGAGTGCCACGGGTAGGGCCTAGCATAAAATAACGTGGAATCGCGCGATTTTTGGAGTCACGTGACATATTTATATTATATATTTTTGTGTGTGTCTGTGTTTGTAGGCCTACTTGCAGCAAAGAATATTTCGTATAAGCCTAGGCCTAACTGGCTAGAATTAAATTCTAGTGGAAAATAGCCAAAATTAAAATATTATATACTGGTGGTCATACATCATACAAATATATTTAAAATATGATTAAGATAGAATAGATCTAAAGATCTAAAGGCACTTAGATAGAATTCTAACGATTACTACTCAGAGTTTCTTCCAGGCATCTCTTCGGTCGGGGGGGGGGGGGGGGGGGGGGGAGGCTAAGCCCCCCCCCCCCGAAAAAATTCTACCGCCCCCCCCCCCCCCCGAACGAAATGAAATTTATATAATTTATATAGAAAATATATACTTTTAACAGTGTCCGCCCCCCCCCCCCCCGAAGAAAGTCTACCGCCGCCCCCCCCCCCCCGAAAATTGCCCCCCCCCCCGGAGAAAATAGTCTGGAAGAAACACTGTTACTACTATTTATTTGTAAAGGTACTCAGACTAGTATGAATATAGCACTGAAAATGAAACGTGAAAGTATACTACGCAGAATTAAGATCTAGAGTCTAGTGCCATATTTTTTAATACTTTCTGTGCGAAGAAGTAGATCTAACCGTACAGGAAAATAAAATTAGAAAAACAAGTTAATAATAAGTCTTGTGACAATTTAAGCGCAATTTCCTTATGTTATTTATTTTAACGAGTAGGCCTACACGATGCTCAGTTTAAAAAAAAATATCCTAGGCCAGGGGTCTCCAAACTACGGTCCGCGGGCCGGATGCGGCCCGCGAAGTCCTCTCATCCGGCCCGCGGAGATCTTTTTGTCCAAGGAAAAAATCGTTTGTTGGTGATGGCTGAGGAACTTTGTTCAGAAAAATCAAAGACATGCCTGGAAGAAACTGGCCCCCGAACTGAAATTTGATAGTTAATGCGGCCCTCGGACTAAAAAGTTTGGAGACCCCTGTCCTAGGCCTACACGATGCTCAGTTTTAAAAAGTAGTAATTAATTTTTTGTGACCGAACGAAAGGATATTTTTGAAAACTTTCTTCAGCAATATTGTTCAAAATTATGACAGGAATCGATTGGTAAATGTTTCAAGTCGCTAAGTGGTCTGGTTGCTGAGATATGGGCCAAAAACTGCATTTTTTAAAGGGTTTTTTTGGCTTTTCCGGGAAATCCAGGAAGGAATTCCGGGAATTTTTTTGGCCCACAATCATCCTCGAAACTTGCTTAACATATTTGCTTTTGGAACTAGTCCTCGATATTGCTTCGTTGAGGAGGAGATACAACTTAAAGCTGCGGACACACATCCATACATCCAGAAATGACGAGTTAATAATCGCAATTGTCCGTATGGAAATTGCGCTAAAAAGATATTTTTCGCTGTTTTACACCTCCCTAATTTATCGTATATGGAATATTAATAATATGTCATCTATAATATAAGGCTGGTGATATATATATATATATATATATATATATATATATATATATATATATATATATATATATATATATATATATATATATATATATATATATATATTAAGGTCAAAGCCCGAAGTAGGCCAAAGCACGCATTGGCCAATATCGCCTCCCATTGACCGGTTAAAGTCCGAAACTTAACTTGATTTCGGCCTTTGGCTAGCCAGTCCGCGGACTAGCCATGGTGGACCGGTCAAAGTCATAATTAGAAGATCATCTGGCTAGGGACGACCGGCCAAAGTCCGAAATAAAGTTAAGTTTCGGACTTTGAACGGAAGAAGATCATGAGCAGATTTAGAGTTTTTTTTTTATTCCGTAAGGATCACGAAATTAACTCTTTATTGATTATTAATTAAAGTTAGTGACACAGAGGCGTATCCAGGTTTTCGTTGTAGGGGAGCGAAAATAGCAAAAAGGCGCCGAATTTTTAACACGTTCTGTATACGTATATATATATATATATATATATATATATATATATATATATATATATATATATATATATATATATATATATATATATATATATATATATATATATATATATATATATATATATATATATATAATTACTAGCTGTATGTCATTACTTCGCTATGATGTAAAATAAATTGAAAGTAGCACTCTGAAGAAATAAGAAAAAAACACAATGTAGGCCGACAAAACAAAAATTGTATCAATCTAAACAAAAACAATATACACACACTACAACCAAAAACAATGAACGTAACACAATCTGTTTTATAATTCTTATAAAAAAAATTCTTACATAATAATTCCTCGGAAATTATTTAAGACAAGTTAAATAGGGGAAATAATCACTCTCTTAATATAAATATGTATATATCTACACATTTAATTATAAATGTCAAAACAAATAAATAATTACTAGAATATAATGAAATTGTTTAACACTATTCGTGTGTACAAAAATGTTTTTGTCTATAATCAGAATTTAATATATCGTCATCATAAATGCTTAAGTATTACAGCATAATGACAGTTTTTAAAATCAGAGTTGGTATAAAAGCACGCTTTTCGATATAATTTGATAACATTAGGAATAACAGCCTACATTTAACTAAATATCGGTCTTTAAGTTCAGATCATATATTTTTAATTAACTACTGCTACTTTATGTTATTTAAAGATCATTTTTTAACATAGTTATAGTTATGGGTTAGATCACTGTATTGATCACACACCTTTTTACTGGTAATTGCAAAAACAATATCCACTGAGTTTTACGTTTATAAAGCTAATTTTCTGGCGGCATGGTACTTTGGTACATCATTACGCGTTTTTCTACATGTACTTAACAGATCAGTTCGGGGTGGGTTGGGGGGGGGGGGGTTCAACTTCATTCACCACTGTCCGGTCACTTTAGATAAATTAACCAACCCAGTGTATACCTAGGTGTGACATTAATGTCGCTCTACACAATTGTGGTGGTGAGGTGTGTGTGTGGGGGGGGGGGGGGGGGGAATAACCAACTCAGAGTGAACATAGCGTCAGTTTTTAGATGTCTGTTCTAAACATACATATATATTACACAAATATATATTACACAAATATATATTACAGAAATAGATTAAAATAAGTAGCAGTGGTATATGACAATATTTTTTTTTACAGAGGGGTCCATGGGGGAGGGGGGTTGTAACTGTTTCATATAATTTGTAATCGTAATCACTATCGCCCAAACTGTAAGAATACTCTTAGTTCATCGTGATGACGTTGTTGACCGTGTCAAAATTTCCCCACCACTACGCAGTTTGCTCATAAGTAAATTTAAATAGAGGTGCCACATCAGTTGTATTTGTTTCTGTATTGTAATTTTTAAAACATTAATCACACGATTCAAACTGTATATATAAAGTAATTATGTGTGAAGTTTTATGTATAACATTTTCTAATTCAATTATTCGTAAGCAAATACATTTTATTGTAATATAGTCTCAATCAATATTATCACTTGTAACAACAAGTTGAACATTTACGGCATTTAGAATTACATAGTAGCTTGTTATTTTTACAATTGCAGTGATTTGTTATGTATTTGGTTGTGCAATTGGAGCAAATGTACCCTTGGCCGCCGGTCAGTGATTGTGAAGATTCGATGGTTAGTAGTGATTTTTCCACAGTGCCAACGGACGACAATGAGAGCAGTTTTTCGTGAAGAATTGAAAACTCACTTCTAGCGTATAATTGTTTTAGAACACCATGTTCCGTTCCTAGCTTGTAGAAAGCGCACTCGACGCTCATCACATCTGCATTGGCGCTTCGGGGATCACCGCGACCACTTTCAGCATCTGGTATACGGAGGCGAACATTATCTCCCACTTCAGCTTGTTTAAAATTTGTATCTGCGTTTTTTTTTAGCGTCTTGGCACCTTGAGTTTGCAAGCTAGTATGAGATGTTAACCTATTGCCCATGATTTCTTGTTTATTGTGACATAATCTGCAAGACATTTTCCCTCCGTAACCTTCGTCTACTTCATTGGCATGGGTATAATTGGGACATCCAGGCCAGTGCGCGCATTGGCCGGCCAATGTGCGAAATACGCTATCAGTGCTAAGCTCGTGCTTTGACCGCACTTCGGGCTATGACCGTAATATATATATATATATATATATATATATATATATATATATATATATATATATATATATATATATATATATATTATATATATTTAAATATACTATTTAAATAGTAGTCTATAATTTATTTTCTACTTTTTAGTGCATGATTACATAAAAGTTTGTTATTAAAACGTTTTTTATGATTTTTTGTCAGTACTTTACATGTTTTATTTACAATAGAGTTACATGACTAAAAACCATTGCGCGCCTACTGAACGTGATGGCGCAGCTATTGAACGTGATGACGCGTGTGGTGTGGTTGGATAGACATGCCTACTAATTCGGTCCAAATCTTAATTAATTCATAAAAAATTAATTAGGCATCCAATTAAGTCAAATTTAATTTCAGATTGCATTGTCTTCATGTCTTGACCCACGTGCCAACTGTGAATCGTATCGGTAAAGTAGAAGTGTCCCAATTTTCACTCCGGCGTTTCGATCTAGACTGACGACTGACGACAGACAGAGAAAGTGAGTTAAATAAAATCTTAGTCCATAATTTATTTTCTGCTTTTAAGTGCATGACAGACTGACGCCTTACGACAGAATGACGACTGAGGAAGTGAGTTAAATAAAAGCTTGTAATAAAAACCACGTTTTACACTATAAAAGAAAAACAAAACATTCGGAATAATAGCCTATTAATTAAAATATCGGTCTTGCAGTTCAGAATATACATTTTGTAATTAGCTAATGCTTTTTGTATTCTTAAAATATCATTTTTTAACATAATGATAAGAGATAGGTTAGACGACTGTATTGCCCACATACCTTTTTACTGGTAATTGAAAAACAAATATTCACAGATTTTTACG